ACCGACTTCTTTTTACAATATTACTAATTTCTTGCAAACTTTTTCCACCTTCATGATGACTTATAATCAATTTTCTCAATTCAATTGACGTTTCTTTACCTTTTCGACCCATTTTGCGTGTTAATGAACAGATTGTTTCTGTTGAAACAAAAGACTAATTGCTAATTGTCTTTTGTTTGGTGTAGAATAAACAGGGAATTCCCGATACAGGGAATTTCCTAGGACGTATATTCTTGTTTGTATGTTGGCTGTACGAATATGGCTGAGAGATGGTTTTTATGGATAATTACATTCTTTTTCTATTTTTTTGTATTTCTAAACGATGAAAAGTAAAACCGCTTTGTAAATAGATGTAGAACAGTGTAATAATTAATTTTAATAAAGATAAATAAAAAGTATCCCTAGGTAAAGTGGTGTTTTCTCATTTATATTGAACGCGTGTATGCTGTTCGAATATGAGTGGGAGTAACTGTACGTCGTTTTCTGTGCAAATTGTTGTATTTCTTCGAGGAGGTTTTTTTTACTTGGCCAAGCCAGGTTTTTCCTCCTCTGGGGCAATAAATTCTTCTTATTGTCCCCAACATTGCGTAATTTTATTCGAACCCCTTCCCATCCGTCCACTTTAAAACAAAATATAAATTGAATTGCGGAATCTCGGCGCATTGACGAGGTTTCGACAAAACATGTTTGGTGTTATTTTAATCAGGAAAACTAGACAAATACGACAGTAAAAGTTTCATGAAAAAATAGTAAGAAATAAGAAAGTTACAATCTTTTCCTTTACTTGCATTAGTATGTGTCTCACCGATATTCGATCCTCGTCGTTTCGGCGACCGATCGTGTTTCATTCTTGACTGATTTCGAGGGGGATCCCCCCAGTAGTGGGGATAGAATTTTAACATTTACGGTAGAGATCTTTTTAACATTTACGGAGTGAATACTGTACGCAAACGGCGACCGTGTTATTTTTCTCTTCTGTCTTTTTCTACGTTCGGCAAAACATCAATCAATGTAGGACCTGTACGATATACGCAAAACAGACCCGACAGATTTGCGTATATAGAATATCCACTGTATTTGGCAGAAGCTCGTAATACAGAATTCCTTTGCAATCCCACCAGACACTGAGCATTACTTTCTTCGGATGAAGTCCGGCTTTTGGGGAGGTTAAGGGTGGGTTATCACGCTTTGTCCAAGACCTTTTGCGTTCAACATTTTGATACACTATCCACTTTTCGTCCCCCATTATTAATTACGTGAGAAATGGCGTCTCCTCATTCCGCTTGTACAGAGAATCGTAAATGGAGATGCGATCCGTAAAATTCTTCTCCGTCAGTTCGTGGGGAACCCATACATCATACCGATTTATGTAACCAAGCTTCGTAACATGCTCGTGGATACTTGATTTCGATTTGTTCATCATGTCCGCTAGTTGACGTAAGGTAAAGCGCGGATTATCCTCGATTATCGATTTAATCACATTTTTGTCCGTGGTGGACGGCCTACCCGAGCGTTTTTGATCTTCAAGCTCAAAATCTCCAGTCTTAAACCGAGCAAACCATTTCCGCACAGTTCTTTCGGCTACAGCACCTTCGCCATAAACTTCGCATATCTCGTTTGTTGTTTGTGTGGCATGTTTGCCTTTCTGGAAAAAGAAAGGCATTAAATGCCTATAATGCACTTTGTTTGCGACCATAATCTAAGACATATAAAACTTACAAAAATTAACGTATCTTAACCAAACTTTTTTCCAAATATGCTTGAAGTACCGTCTTTTAGAATAGGCCCGCATTTCATTTATTTTCAGTAATTATATAATATATTCAGGTCTGTTTTCATGCCACCTACCGAAAATCAGCACGAACTTTCCGGACAACCCAATACATAAAAATCGAACAGTATTTGGGGTAAAAAAATTCACCCTCCTACATCCTCCAGTTTCCTATTTTCACCCCCTCAACGTGCATGTCAGCAGATATAAAAAAATACGTGTGAAATAATTTTCAAAAAGCTACCACGTATGTAATTTTATTAAAATTTTGTATTTTGTCAAACATGTGCGACATACAAATTTCAGAGTTACTTCAATAATGGAATATATTTTTGGCTTCCTATAATTACTTGACGAAGCACAATATAGTTTAGAAAAAGGAAACGGCAAACAAAGCAATATACATACAACTGTTGGAAATGGGTAGAGGAATAACACACAAATATTGCTTTTTATGTTCAAGAGTTTCTTTTCGAAGTACAAAAGGACATTTATGCTCTCTGAAAACTGTAAAATAAAAAGTAACAAGTCTTCAAGTGCTCGTAAAAAGTCTGAAGTGCACACCTGGGCGAGTTTATAGCCTACGCGTATAAAACTGACCATCCAAAAGATTCACCGGGTTTTCGTGTCACGATCGTTATTCCATTTAGTAAAATACTTGTAAGGGTCAGCGACTAAATTGGAATGTATTTCCAAAAGAAATCAGAACTACGAACAATGTCAAGCACGTTTCGAAAATAATAAGTTTCCGCGTCCAGGAAGGTTACCTGTTTTGAAGGGAAAACTGAAGTATCCCGAATTTATGGCGAGCCTACCATCTCATCGTCAGACCTCGTTATTGTGATGGTCGCTGTATCGTGACCATGTGCGTCCAACGTGGGGCATATATCTGGCAAAAATTTGTTATGAATAAGATACTGCTATTCGGCTCGTCATTGTTCCCGACTACGACAACGGAGACCGCGTAGAAAAAACAGAGGGGTCGGTATAATGGTAAACTATTGTAAAGTGATCGGTCGAGCAGCGATGTTATATTTTAGGCAAGGACAGAACATAATATGGTGCTATAGTTCTTTATATTTTATTATAATTGTATTACAGTTTTCTGAATTACACCGGTCCCTCTCGTTAAGCCCACTCATCACCTTCATCTGACTCGCACCTCGCCTTTCATCGCCAACGGTTCACGCACTCTCCTCTCGCTCTCTCACTCATTCCCTCTCATTCTTTTCTCGTCCAGCCTATCATTCGCTCCGTTACAAACTATCTAATTACCCATTTGTCCTCTTCAAATCTCTCTCCTTCCCTCTCTCTCTCTCTCTCTCACACACACACGCACACACAATCACTACAATGCTTTCTCTTTTTGATATTAGTAAAATTGCATGAATGGAATATGGAGTAGAATAAGATAAGTGGAATACGCTCCAATTCCTAATTTTTCACAATCCGCCTTATTTTTTTACATTTATGTTAATATTAGCATACACCTACATACAGAGTGTTACCTGTAACGCTACTCACGATTTTTCTCCCACTTGCAGCCACCTTACGAAAAAAAGTTTAGAATAAAATTTGCAGGGTATGAAGTGCACAATAGATATTAGTAAAGCAA